AATTGACACATGGAAATTATTGAAACAGCTTTCTTCCTGCATAACTCTTCTTTATTCAAGCACAACTGTTTTTTTTTAATTTGGGGACAATAATATACTTAAAATTCCATGCTATTCAAAGTTAAGAATAACAATAAAAGTTAAGATTTTATACTCTAAGCATGCTTCCAAAGAAAATTTTAGATTTATTTCTGAAAACGTTTTTAAACCTCAATTTTTCAGAACTTGTTTTACATGTATGAATTTTAGTACAGAAGACTTTAGTACAGAGGACAGGGAATCTGTGTTAAAATCAAGAAAATGAAGTCAAAAGAATATGAGGATTTCTTTCAGCATCTATAGAAAAATGGTACGAAGGGGCATTACAAAGAAAACTAGATGATGTGCTATCTTGAAAATTGAGCTTTTAAGTATCTGAATCTTTTTCATATTTAATCTGTTCCTAGAATTTTAATAGTGATCATTATCTATCCTTTTGTGAATCTTTCAGTGTTTCAAGGAATATGTTTCAGTTTAACAATACAATAGGCAAATTTTAAGTAATTTGTCAAAAAAGTGACACCAGTAAAATTTTCTAACAATGCCTTTCAAAAGCATCTTTAGCTTTTAATGATTTTCTCAGAGTAATGGTACTGCTATGTAATTCTGCAGTAGAAAGATATTGTTAGCATTTTCTGTTTACATTTTTCCTTGTTCTTCTGTGAATTATAGTAATGAGTCAAAGCCTAGTTGGAAATAAGACCTATAAAATCCAATATAAAGGCATCACAATTCACTTGATGTATAATAGCAATCGTAGTAACTTTCCTAACCTTTATTGCAATTTTGCACAAAACAACTAAACATTTATGAAAAATATAAATCTAGGAAATCTGTAGTGGAATGAATTCTTTAATGTATAGCCAAAGGTCTAGTGGTGATATAGTTTACTGTGGATAGAATTAAATTGTGTGCATTTGTGTTATAAAAAAGGTTCTTACAATTTTTTCAAAGTGAAAGAAGAAGCCATTAAAGAAATTTTAGCAGGGAAATGACATGATTCAATTTATATTCTTTTTAAAAAGAAATCAATCTGTCTGCTGTGTAAACAATGAAAGGCTATAATATGAAAGTAATAAAACTAGTAAGAATGTTTATTCAGTAATATGGATTATAGAGATAGATAGATAGATAGATAGATAGATAGATAGATAGATAGATAGATCACACCTGGGATTAGGGAGGTAACAGCATGAAAGCATGATTTCCTATGAAGAGAGTAGGTGAAGAATTAACAGGAATCATGAAGATGTACAGTATTAGAGAATGAATGGAAAAGACCCAGCAAAATTGACCAAGACAAGGTAGGTACAGGAGCAGGACAAAAGTCAGGAGATGGTGGCTTGCAAGGAAGGAATAGAAGCAAGAGGACTGTACATTCCATTCTGCTGAGAGTTTCAGTAAGATGAAAACAGAGAACTGACTCTTGAGTTTATCAGTTGGGATGATAACACTTACTCTGACGCGAGCCCCCTTGGTCATGATGAAGATTGCAACTTGTTTAGATTGGTCTTGGCAAAAACTGTGAGGAAAGAGTAAAGTCAGGAAATACAGACAAATCCTGTAAGGTTTTCTGTCCACACAGATAGAGACAGGTAATGATAAATCGAGTAATACAGTAGAACACCAATGGATATTGCAGTGAAAGAGAGATTAATTGCAGGGAAATGGCCCAAGAATACTTAACATCATGCACAAAACAAGATTTGATAGGTTAAACAGACAAATTAGTAAGTCTGTATTTGAAATTAATACGGTTTTATATTGGAAAGTTTCTGTTTCCTGAGACATATGCCTCAAGATCCTCTTCTAGAGTATGAGAAGAAGAAAAATAGGTGTCTGGGAGGAAAGAGAGTTGAAAACACTTGTCTTAGAGATAGGAAATATACAAATTTCATGAAGTTGTTGTAGAGAAGCTTTGAAATGAGTGTGAAATTAAAAATTAAAATGTCTCCATATGAAATTAAAAATTAAGAAGTAAGCTGTGTGTGAGGAAGTCCATAATATAGTCTGACTTTTGCAATGGAATCCTACTTTGAAATTTTTTTAATTAAATATCAAATTCTTTAATGTTCTGCAGCCATCTTTAGAGCGCCTGCTTTGCTTATGCTCTAAGGCCTTCTCTGTATAGGTTCATAAAGCCCTGTCTAGAAGATGGGAGAGACTTAGGGAGAGCACAAATGATTGAGCATGCTGAAGAGAGAGGGTCCTGGAGGCAAAAGAAGGTATGAAACAGCGAACACCAGCTCCCAGCCCTCATTTTGCTAAAGATCAGCTTAGAGAAGGCAGGTGAAGCCATGCTATATTTAAAAGTCAAATAAGAAGAAATGTTTGTTACTATTGAGTTAAAGTAGAATCGACATTCTGCCCACTGTCTAATTCTAGGACCTTTGCTGGTGATTCCAGGTACTGCCAGCAGCTGATTTTGTTGGTCCTTATGGAAGTTCAGAGGAAAAGAAATGACTAGTAGGAAACAATGTGTACAACTGAGTTGCTACAAGCAAAATCTTCTTGATTATCAATAAATTAAATATATGTGTATGCATATATTACTAGTAAAAGTAAAGAATATATTTAGAAACATAAGTGGGCATTTTATTAAAACATAATTATCAACATATTGACACAGCTTAGGCATTTAGCCATGCATAATTATTAAGTCCCTGCTATGTGTGAGGCACTGTGCCAGGTATGAGGTACACACACAACAGTAAATTTGATTTTATGGAACAAAATTTGCTCTCTCAGAGCTAAAATTCAAGTTGTCTATAAAGTTTTCTCATTATAATCAAAAGAATCCCAGAGCATCTGTATTAAACTAGGTGTGTCTTCTCACAGAGGACCTGCCTAATTTTTAACAGACTGGATTCTAGTCCCAGTTTGCAAATATTCATGAGACATAGGAAGCAAGGGCAGTCTGGATCTTAGTTTGTCCCCTGCAAAATGAGAGCTTTGGAAGACTTGACCTTGAAAACTTCTTTTAGACATTCCAGCTCAAAAGAAAATTTGTGGTTTTGTTGGGCTTCTCTGAGCACTCACTGGTGGCCCTAATGTGATATCAGTCTCCCAAAACGGGGTGGTGCTGAGTGTTATTCATGTGTGTATTTTAGTAAATGTGTGCACAGACTCCACAAGAGGTTAAGACGCAGAAACCAATACTCCATCGCCACACACACAGCATAAAAATAATAATAACGCCAGGAATCATGTACATCTTCATATGTGTTTTCTCAATAATTCTGTCAGGTAGAACTGTTACCATTTCTATCTTAGAGCTGAAGGAAACTCAACTCTGTGAGCCAGCTTTCTCAAGGCTGAGGCATCACATCTGACACCCACAACTCCAGGGGCAGTTCATGTGGCTAGCAGTTTCCGGGGGTTCTGTCCATGGTTGTCTTGCCCCATGCAGAACCATCATGGCGGACAAATGTGTGGGAGAGAAAGGCTGCTCACCTCAGGCAAGTGGGAAGCAGATCAGGGGAACTGTGATAGAGGAGAAGCAAAAAGGAACCAGATATAGTTACACCTCTACAACCCACCCAGACACACCCAGAAGTGTGCTCCATCAACTCCCTAGATGACTTCTAAGCCAATCAAGTTAGTGCAGTCAAATTAGCCATCACACAGTGACATCTCACAGAGACTACATGACCTGCCAGGAAGCAGCAGAGTGACCCACACACCCAGATCTTCTGAGCCAGAGCGCAGAGTGCTCACTGCTGGACACAGTGCAGCGGGCAGTGCTTTCTTTTCACACTGTCTGAAATCATAGAGCAGTCATTTATAATCTAGTTGAGTGCCACTGAAGCACTTTTTAAATTCAAAAATCTGTTATATTGTAAGACAGGGATAAAAATGACATTAAATTATGTGTTTGTAATCTGCCAACTAACCCAGTCCACACACTGACCTGAGAAGGAAGGATTATTGCTCTCCACTTCAGCCAAAAAGACTTGGTTGTACTAATGAGAGAGAAAGAAAAAGGGATTGAAAGTTCCTATAGCAGAAACATGGCCAAAGGAAAGAGACGTAGAGAGTTCATGGAACCTAAAGGATGTGAAATCAATACATACTATAATAGCAGGGGGTTGAGAAGAGAAATTTTACCCAAATTGATCACAAACTAGCTCCACTTTAAATTACTCATAAAACAAATGTTAGTCAAGCTTCTCAGCTTCAGGGTATCTACAGGCACAACATGCCCAAATACACTCCAAAGAGACAGCCTCTGTGGAAAACGGGTTCCCTTGCATATTTGGAGATACATTAATCCTCTAATATAGCAGAACAAATAGAATAAGACATATCTCTAAGCACGGGCAGGTGCCTATTGGAGGCAATACCTAGCGAGTCAGAGGCCTGCCTTCGCCTAGTTATCTTCTCTATCACTTTCCATTACCTAAGACTTCAACAAGGAATGCAACCCTTTATATTGCAATGAAGACAAAGATTAGTCTTTTAGAAAGAGTTGCCAACTCTGCCAGTGTGTAAAATCAATCTTATAATATTTAAATACAGTGTGAGTGATGATAGTGTAATGAAGAACATAATTTAGCAAGGCTACTTAGGTCAACTTCACAAAAAATTACATTTTTATATTTGGATAAGAAAAATGGAATATAAAGTATTAATCAATTAACCCAATTTGACAACTTGCATCCCTAAGAGTCTACAAAGTGGTATGTATATGCATATATGTGTATACATATGTATAATATTTGAATGTTCATACGGTATGTAGGAATGCACTAAATAGAATAGAAATTAAGAGGAAAGGAAGATATAATTATGACAATAAAATGTATGAACACTCTGGAGAAGCCAGGTAACTATACCATTTTAAAATGTTACCAAATGAGACGAAGAAGTAATTTGATTAAATATAAACTATGAGTAGAAAATAACCTCAAATTCAATGCTTTCAAAGGGCAGCAAAAACTGAAGTCCCACAACTCCCCAAAATGAGGAGGAAAAGAAGAAAAGCTTATAAAAAGTGGAAAATCTTGAATGCTGCAGGAGGTAAGTCCAATTTAATACTTTTAAAAGTATGTATAAAATAAACAACCACTGAATCTACTTTATTCTTTATCATACAAATGCCTATAAATGTACGGAGATAAATATATACAAATGCATGACCATAATTGTGAAGTTTGACCTGTTGTTACAAGGTGTACCCTTCTGCATCAATTATTAAAGATATGCAGCATAAATGCTGATAATTTAGATGAAATATTTATTCAGACATGGGCTATTAACAGCCCCATTCTCAGAATCTGTCATCCATGCATTATAGTTCTGTCTTCTTCCTTGTAGATATTGCAGTGTAGTTAATTGAAAGGGACTATAAAATATGAAATTATTAAATTGGAAAGGGCTATAAATGGAACTGCTTAGGCCAGAAGGTGTTATTTTAAGGATAAGTGGCCATCTCTTCCTAAAGGCAGTCCATCGCTCCGTGCACACTGCTATCATGTCCATGCTCTATTATTAATGGGCTTTAGAGAGATATGTCTCCTTATCTCTTCTCCCATGACTCCTGCATTACAGCTCTCAGGTTGCAGCCAAACCTACTGGAAATTATTTTAGTTCTTGCCAAGAGAGATGCCCATCTTTTGAGCTAGAAAAGACACAAGTAGGAATGGACCAATTCTTCAACTAACTTCAGTATACTTGTTTTTGCTGTTAAGCAAAAATGTATTTACCCTTTATATTTATTTATACAAGTATAAATATTTTTATAAAATACAAATGCATATATAAGTCATGCTAAATTAATGGAATGTTTAAGTAGCACTTACAAATAACCATTTCTCATTGCCAGCATTGTCATCTTATTAAAAATATACTTTGGACTTCTGGTTCACCAATGTCCATGAATTATTACTTTTTGCTCATTTTTTCTTTTTCTTAAAAAATCATTTCTTTCAGATATAATTTAAAATAGAGTGTAAGCTCTTTGCGTATTTTCCACAAGATTTGGTGCCTCTTGCTCAGAATCAATTGTCTCACAGTAAAATATTGCAACTTTATGAGGCAAATGAGGACAGGCTGCCAAGTGATGGGCCTTGGGCCAAAAGAGGCCCTTATATACACTGTCTTTCAATAAAACAGGGTTTTAGAAACTTAAGCAAATCCTCAGAAAGTAGAGGATTTCAGACTGTAATTCTAGACTCTCGTTTTAGAGCTAGGCTCTAGTTCTGTCTTGGAAAATGAAAGGATCTGGCAGGAGTAGGCTCCCTTCTCACAGGACAACTTGGTTGGCCCTGAGTGGCCGAGAATGTGTAAACCAGCTGCCTCACTGACCTGGTCATTGGCCTGGGCACCACAGGCACCTACATCATGAAGCTTTCCTAGAAGAAGCTGGGGCCAAAGGAAGCTTAAGCAACTGTCCAGAAGCGATCTTAGTTCTCTTCCCTGTTTTTTCTCTTTTTTTTTTGATGCCACCATGTCAAATGATATGGGGTTCCATGTAGCTTGTAGTGCAACACCACGCTGAAATACCTGATCAGAACAACTTGATCTTTACTATGAGGCTAAACTTTAAATTTACTTGCATATATGTCTCTTGACTTTTCATTTCACCCACTGTTGGAAGTTGTTGTGTTTAAGAAAGCTTAATTAAGTCCTTATTTCCTAAAACTATATGTTAGTCTTCACTCTGGAAGAGTTAGTAATTTTAAATAAGATGCTCATTAGAAATGAATTTTGGAAGAAAACTTGTTAATATACTAGAAATGAATGAAAAAATAGTGCCTAAAATACGTACAGAGAACATTACATTTCACTTTAGAATTTGGAACATCTGTGCTCTAAGAGATACAGATTTTATTTTTGCTTCCTCTCTAGGTACCTCTCAGCCTTCCGGTCATGCGTGCCAAAGAAATGTAAAAGATGTTAAAAAGGAAGTCGAAGGAGACACCTCAGAGGCTGTGTTTCACCAGACTGGGGCTTTAGGGAAATCTAAGGAAAATGGAAGTAAACAGATGTCCAATTCTGTGAATGAAAAGCAGAATTCCTCTCTTCTTCCAAAAGCTGAGAAACAGTCTCCGTCTGACAACAACGCACATCGGGAGAAGGAAAGCGATGATCCTCCTTCGGCCATCTCTCATCAGCTCAAGAAAGTCTTGCCAGTGGTCGTATTTCATGACTGTGGAGAATCATTATCAGAAAAAATTACACTGCACGATTTCCCAGGCACAGTAGAAGGCTTGAAACCAGAAAAAGGTAAATTTATTACAGAAGTGAAATGTGAGGCTTTCCATGTACAAGTAGAAATCAAGAAAAACATTTTCTGCAAAACAGGTACACGGTTCTCAACAAAGAGATGTCGAGCCTGTCGCAGGTTGTTTCCTGCCAGGCACGTTGGGAAATGCTGCACTGCTAAAAGATGCTTCCCTAAACACAATGATAAATTGGCAGAACAATTAAAATCTGAGGTGCCATCAAAATATGAAAGAGAAGTTACCAGAACTGAGAGCCCCTCGCTGAAAGTAAGCATTGTGGGTAAGGAAATTAAAGTTAAATACGGGAATAAGAAGCAGAATCTGTCAATTAATATAACCCATCCTAAAAGAAGAGGAAAGATAAATAAATACAGAAACCTTTCCTCCAACCACACCACTGAAGAAGAACTGTCCAGGTCTCCTTCACATTCTAGTGTTAAGCACGCTGGAAAGAAAATCCGTGAAGAAAAGCAACAGAATGCACAGAGTGGGCATGTCTCTCCTCCTGATGCGCTCACTGTCTGGAAAGAGAACTCTAGCATAGCTGTGGCTTCTCTCACGTCGGATCTTAAGAGAGAGAAAAGCAAGGCCAACTCACTGTCCTCAGGCTCCAATGCTTCTCAGGGAGAATCTGCCGTCCCGCAGCACAGCGTCTTTAGACTTAGGCAGCTCTCTCCCGATAGGTCACAGTTCTCCGCAGCTGACACTGTTCACATAAACATTGGTTCTGCTTCATGTGACAGCCTACCGACTACAAGTTCAAGTAATACAGATGTAAGCAAATTGTCTTTTGAGGATCCTAAGGATGGGGATAGAGAGAGAAAGACCAAGTGTGATGTCTCAGGAACTATCACAGCAGAGTCAAATATAAAGCAAATCACTGAAGGAAACCCTTTGCTAGGCACCGTTACTGACGTTGCTCCCGTTCAAGAAGGCTCCGAGCCTGGCTTTTGTTCTTTGCCTCCTCAAACCAGGCAGCACTCAGGAGAAAAGGCAGTCAATGCCGAGTGCAAAGGCAGCAGAACTCCCCCTGCAGAAGACCACGAGGTCTCACATGTTCCATCATTCTCTTCCAGCCAAAGTGGGCTGAAGCCGTCTACCTCATCTAGCCCATCTCACTGGGCCGCCAGACACTCAGAAACCAGAGAGAACCCAGAATATACATTTTCTTTTAATCACTGTGCCAAGTTTGTTACAGACCATGAGAAAGATGATGGTGATGTGACCGATGGTGACATTGGCAAAGTCATTTTGCATGGTGACTATTGTGAAAACACACAGCAATTTGTGGAAAGGAAGCATGAACAGAGTCCATCGTCCAGTCCTGTGTCTTGCAGCAGCCTAGATGCTGGGGACCTGCACCAGAGTATCAACCACAGATCTGAAATAATGGACCAATTGGAGGTCCAGGGACACCATCCAGAGAAGACACTCAGCCAAACAAAAGGGCCAGCCATGATTTCCTTAACAGATGGATCAGAGAGAAAGTTCATTGCTCATAATGATAAAGAAGGTCCAGTTGATTCGAATTGTCCTCTGGGAATGAGAACCCCTGAGGAGTCACTGGGTTCTGTGGGACAGGATGAACACAACAAGCTTCAGTTGATACCAGTGCTAAAGAATGCATGTCACAGAGATTCTGAAGACCTCTCCAGGGGGACTCACAATCAAGTCTGTTTTCAAATGGACCTCCCACTAAACACTGCTGATGATGAGCTGTTTCTTATTGAGAAAATGCTACCTAGGGGTGCAGACCGATACAGTAACCATGATGCAAAACCCATCATACCACCCAGTTCTCCACAGGAGCCAGAAAAATACCAAAAGGTTGCAACAAGAAAATCAAATTCTGAAGGAGGTGAGCACAAATACAGTTGCTATCACCCAACAGGTATGCTTCTGTCTCCTCAGAAGCAGAGAGACTTTGCAAGGTATGGTAGGCTAGAGAGAATGTTTAACTTTCAATATTTTTACATGGTTGAGCCTTGAAAAGTCTTAAGGTAAGGACATTTTTATTACTTGGGATTTTTTTCTTTATTGCTAAGGATATATTGAGTATTTTAGAATTAGATGACTATGAGCAAGAATATATCAGCCTGCTTCTTTGCATTATCACCCACTCCACCCATAAATAGTGCATAGCAAAATCACCAAGGCTGCAATTTAAAATAAAGTAAAAAAATCAATTTCCCTTTAAAAGGTTGATATATTGCCAAATCAATTTTGTAGGAAATGTTAGCCTTTTGCCACTCCTAAATAATCCACCAGTTTTTCCTTCTTGCAAGCTAAGCATGTTTCAAGGAATGGGGAGAATATGTTTGCAATAAAATGTGTTTTGAAACCTTGCTGTGGCATTGCAGAAACAGGGTTATGCATGTCCCAGAAGGCTATGTGGAATAGTAATTGTAGCAAAGGACAAAAAACAGAAACAACCATGGCTAATCCTGACTGAGCCATCTACGGGGCCTTTGACCCCTAGCAGACCTCTGACCTCCCTTGTGCATTGGTTGGTCCTGCTCAAGCCATTGATAAAACCCAGAAGCTCTTCAGACTTAAAAATGCTAGGATAGAAAGTCTTCTAAGTGCAAAATATTGTCTGTCTGTTTTTCAGTCTTGGATTAACATAGTATTATTCTGGTCACTTCATATACCACCCTTGTTTTTCTCAATGAGTCTGAATTATTTTAGATTTAATGATAGCACTGTCTCACCTTGTAAATTAAAATGCCATCTTGAATGAGTGAGAGCGTTTCCTTAGTGCTAGGAACTTATCCAACATGCTCAGAAATGAAATTTGGAATGATAAAACTTGACAGAGAAGCTATCTCTTCTTTGTCATTTGAGCTCTAAATCTTTAATGAAAAAATTTGTAACAGCAAAAATGTATTACTCAACGTATACTTAAAATTTAAAAAACATAAAATACAAGCATTTAAATCTATGATATATTGATATAAAATGTGAAACTTGCTTTATAAAAAGCAAATGCCCTAAAACAGTACAAAAACTCTACAGCTACCTGCTTCATATGAACATGCTACAGCAAAGACTGTTCATCAGTGTGACCTCTTCCCAGTGCCTACACACCACAAGCATAAGTGACTTCAATCCCAGGATGTGTTACAGTCCTTGGTGACTTACCTGCTGAAGATCTTCCTCAGGATGGCTTTCCCAACCCCGAGGCATGCTGGTTTGACTTCCCAATGAGACACATTTCCTTGTGAAGACTGATAATTCAAGCCAGAATTCAACCACCACTGAGATTATACTCCAGTAAACTTCGAAATGTTCCTATTTGTTAAACAGTTTCAGTTTCAGCCACTTGTCCTTTCTTTCTCTGGTTCATTAAAAGGCTGTTTGTGAAATGGTCCCCTTTGAGCCTCTTCCCTTTACTCTGTATGTTCCAGCCATATTGACCTATTTGATTTCTTATGTTTCAGCCAACATCCTGTCTCAGACCCTTTCCATGGGCTCCATATCTGTACCAGTTATTCCCTAAATGTCCACAGGTTCATGTCTCTTTAAACTTTTGCTCATGTAGCACACTCAGTAGGGCCTTTTCAAATTTAAAAAAAAAAAATGCATCTGAGCTGTCCATGTTGTAGCTCAAATTATCTCTGTTTCATTTTTTTCCATTTATATATTCTATGATTTATTGTTTTTTATGTTTTCTTCTCTCATTATGATATAGGTTTCATGAGGGTATGAATTTTTACTGTTTTTATCATTTTATCCACAGCATTAAACAAGCCTGTCCTATAATGCAGATGCTAAATAAATATTTGTTGAATTGTAGCAGGAAAGTCATGTCAGGTTTATGTTTTGCCCTCTTCACATACCAACACACATGAAAACATTTCAACAATTAAAACAGTTGTAAAACAGATGCTTAAATGTAAATCTATAAACATTTGTACAGATTTGACTCTTTGGGAGCCATAAGTACTTGTATACCTCATTGCCACTATAGTATCGACATTCCTGTCTGGATGGCAAAAACTTTTAAGAGCATAGATTGCTTTGAAGAACTTGAAATCCTTTGGACCACTTGCCCGGCAATTATAAATTTGCTATAGGTACAGAGTGATGCTTACGTTTTCCAAGGGATTCTCCTAGTTTTCATAGTCCATCCATATACCTTAGATTAAGAATCTTAGACATGACTGCTGAATCTCATCACTACAAAGTGTCTTCCACCATGTGTGGAAGGCTTTCACTAGATTACAGGTCACAATCTAGACTCTCTGCTGTCAATGAACCAAGCAGACTCCATGTGGAAACATATGTAGTGCTGGTGAGCTAGAGATGGTTTTGAAGGAATGGTGAGGCAGTCTGGCTAGCCAGGCCTTCTGACTTTTCAGGACAGCTGAATACTTGGATTTTAAAAATTTATGAATCTCTAGATTATAAAATTTAAAAGACACAGTGCATTGTAAACAAATTGTGACCTCTAAACTAGATATCAAGGAGAGATTAGTGTGGGCATGTGACAGGAGATGACAGAGCCAGTGTGGTAGAGTAGATGCCAGTCTGAACCTTGAAGAGCTCAATGCTGAGTGTCTCCTCTCCATGTAAGGCTACGTGCTTTGGGGAGAAAAGGTGTTTGCTCAGGGATTGATGCTTTCAGTTATAAATGGACTGAAGTATATGCCAAAGAGTTAGAAATTCTACATCATTAATACAAATTTTAATGAGGAAACCAAAAGTAGGCCACCCCGAGAAAATGACAGATGAGAAGGAGTAGGTGATAATTTATATGGCACAGATTTACTTGTAATAAACTAGTCTTTCATATGTAATGTGACACAAAATTTCCATGAAGTGTATAAGGTATTTTATTCTTCTAAACCTTTACAAAAGCAGTGAGTCTAAGGAACCATACCTATGGCAAAAGGAACAGAAATATGAAGAAGTTTGGGATTGCAAGCTTTACACCAAGCAAAGAATAAAAAGATTGAGTAGTAAATTGCTCCTTTTTTTATAGGACAATATGACTGTTAGATCATTTCCAATAAGCTGACATATAGTAAAACTGGGAACTTTCTACTCACATGTATTTCTTGGAAAATGCTCAAGATCCTGGACCCAGACCCATCTGGGACTGTGCTTTTCTCCTGTAAGGTCCTTCCTGGTCTGTCTCTGCTTCTTGGTCTTCCCACCCACTTCTTCTGCTGCCCTTAGCTTCAAATGTGGCAGCCTTCCATTCTCACTCTCACACTCAGCATCTCAGTCATTCATGCCACTATATAACAAAATATCGATGACGGGGTAATTTTCTGAAGAGAACAACTCGTTTCTTAAGTTTCTGGAAGCTGAGAAATTCACATCAAGATGCCTCGTGAGTCTCCTTGCTGCTACCAAGATGGCAGTGTATGGCCCTGTTCTCCCATGGAAGAAGGCGGACAAGCAGAAGGAATCAGCTGGTCCCCTCCAGTACTTCCAATAGATGTTAGTCCAGCTCATGAGCTCAAGGCACTCAAGAGCAATTTACTTCCTCAAAGCACCACCTCTTAATAGCGTCACATTTCATCTTAGGTTGCAGCCTATGAATTTTGGAAGGACATGTATATATATTTTGTAAAAGCCCTTGATAAAACATCTTTATTTTTATTATCTATTTATTTATATTTTAATAAATTAACAGTTTGTCTCAATAAGTGACAGTATATATATAACAAATTCCGTCAAGAGACTGGAGTGCCTTCATTCCAGCCCCAGCAAATTGCCTGATTCCCTCAAAGGCTCAACAAACATTTCCTGAGAGGCTGATATGCAAGTGAACCTGGGATATAGATTCAATGCATTGCGCAAAACTTTGTGTCAAGCTAAGTAAAACAGTAAAGCTAACTCACCAGTAGTAAATTTGAGTCTGGAAAATTTTCAAGCTTAGATTGAATCGGTACTTGACAGAAATTTTGTAGAAGTATATTAAGTATATAAAGAGAGTGGTTAGACCCTAATATGTCTATATCCTTTGCATCTCAAGATCTCATTATTTTCAAGCAGAACAATAGTCGTGAAGATTTGTTCTTGGGTGTGCAGCTCAGCAATTCTCAAGTTATAGTTCAAAGCATGTTATAAAATACAGATAGATAGATAGATAGATAGATAGATAGATAGATATGATATGATATGATATAGATACAGATATATTCTTAACTTCAGTGTATAAGAAAATTCCAGAGTAAAATTTTCCCCACCATACCTCATGCCTAATTTTCATGTGCCTTAATTCTCTGGACTCAGGGGACTTCTTCACTCCATTAGTTTATAAAGAGAATTGCCATTTAATGTGAAATACTTGGCACTGGCAAAGTCATCCCTCCCGTGAATGCCTTCATTGTCAACCTAAACTCCCAATTTCAACAAATGAGGCAAGTAGAACAAGCTTTGAAAATAATAGTCAGAGGTCAGTGCTATGACAATTTTTAAAAGTTCCACTGCTTTGTAAAATTTCATAAAGCAAAAGTAATGTTGTCCATCATCATAACTCCAATTACCAGCACAATAAAAATTAAAATGAAGAGAGTCCTAAATGTGTAGGATGAATGTTGTTCTGCTGCTATCCTTTTATTTTTAAAGATAGAGGGATGAATCAAAAACAGTTAAGAAAAATTAGAAGAGATGAGGAACAATTCTTTCCCTTCACCATTCATCTATCCCTGACAAGTGAATTTAAATTGTTATATAAATGGTTTATCAATAATTACATGTAAAATGAATAATGCAATTTATCAAAGATGTACACACTTAAATAATTTTCAGAATAATTCTTGATATAAATGAATTAGATTTTTACAAAAATCAATTTTTGGGGCAGAACTGGGGACAAAAATCAAATTGTAAAATCTCATTTACTGCTAGAAGTAGAATAAAACTAAAGACCCAGAGTTGATCTCTTTTTAAATCCATGTTATTTACAAAATCAAGTAAGATCTTAATCAATCTTGGTCTGTCAAGTGACATAAATATTATATCTTCTCTTATTAGGGTTTTCTTTTTATTTTCCTTGTTTCAGCTATTTTTAAGGTTTGTTTGCATTGCAGTCATTTCTTTGTAATTTTCTTTCTTATAGCAATGCACTATGTTATCCCTTGTGATAACAGGGGAAGTAGTTCAGAATGATATAAAGTGCTTCAAGTCAGTTTTGATTCAAATATAAAATTACCAAAGCCCTTGTGTATTTTTTTCATTTTTCTTTTCACCAGTTTGAATCAACATATCAAGAGAAAAACTACCACACCCTTAGCATCCTTATGATCATTGAATTAGAACTATAAGTATTAGAGTGCAATAGAAAACTCAATATCCTGGGCTGTAATTGCATTCATTTAATGTGAACAATAATATCTGAGTAATAATATCTTCCTCCTTAGAATTCAGCATATATATTTAACAATTTATGAGTACTTTGTCCCTTTCCAGTAACTAATGGAGTAACAGGCCTACTGCTCACACCCAAGAAATGCTATTGCCGTAGAACTGCTATGGCCCACCTGAAGCAGCCCACCTGGAGATCTCCGCTTTTCCTATAATACCTCTATTTTAGCTGCACTGCCTCCATTTCCTCACTTTCCCTCTCAGTAGTGCAAATTTAATCTTTCTCTAAATACATGCAAGTTTAGCAAGCATATCATCAATATATTGAATAGTTACTTTCTGATCTGTGATTTTCTGTTTTAAGCGGATATTTCCTACTCTGTCTTCATATACTTAATGTGATTTAATCTAGACCAGAATGTGGAAATCCTTAGCCTCCGCAAGTTGTCCCAGGAACTGGCTCTCAGAGGTGGGAGAGCCAGCGACAGTTCCCAGGAAGATGCAATAGACCAGTGGGCCAGGAGGAGGCAGCAGCTCAGGGACGGGAGAAGATGCAACTCGGCAGGAGGGAGCTCCTTCACCAGCAACCTCACCGAAGGATCTAGTGAGTACACTCCTGGCCTCTTTCCCCAAACCACAGCAAAGGCAGCAGCTACCAAACCCTGACCGTGCTCCCTCCTGTTTGTCCCCAGAGCACGGGTTCCTTTGATTGAAAATGGCAATGTAGCAATAGATACTTTTATGGAATGATCAACTCTTTGTTACCTATTAAAGAAAGGATACTTGGTCACTTACCTTCAAGAAAACACAAAGCCTGCTAAGACTCATCCTTCAGTTCATTCATAAGTATAGGGTTTTTTATTGGGTTAAATTTGTGTTCTACTTGAAAACAATTTGTATTGGTTTGCCCACATATGTGTAATCTGAAAAGAAGATAAATGTGTTTGATTATGTGTAATGATCATTTCTCTCATTTTAACACTTTTGAAATGAGGAAGAATCTCCAAATAGGTATGTATTTTAGCAAGATAACATTTCTATTGCTATTGAATTTTTCTTATTAAACCGGAATTATACCTAGTCAGTGGCAATTGACGATGAAAGATAGATTATCATTGGAAATATAAATTAGCAATAGTAATAAGAGGGTACTAGTACATTTAGTATACATCAATATTCATCTAAATCTAAAATTCTAACTGCTAAAGTTGTTAAAAAGTATTTACCAACTACTAGGCATTTGCAATTTGCATATTACTCACAAAACAAATCAGCTTAGAGAAAACACTGACACCAAAATTGAGTGAGCTTCATGTAAAAGTAGGAAAGGAAAGGACAGATAGTGACTCCAAGAATGTCTTTATGAAGAGACAATAGTAAGCGTCCTAGGTTTTGTCCTAGGAAAGATGATGGAATGACGTATCAGGAACTGAAGTCAGGACCTTGCGCTTACCAGAAAGGAGCTCCTGCCGCTGAGCTGTGTGCCCAGCCCAGGAACAACTCTTGAAGGTAGTGGTGGAACTTATTCAGAATCAGAGATCTGGCATAGCTTAAGGCTCAGAAGCAGTTGTGAATGTGTGGGCAAAGATTAGAAGAAATTTAAATAATTAAACCCGCTATGTGTTGTCACCAACACAACACTTTCATATGTTCAACATTCGAACAATGAAGAATGCAGTTTAACTACTCTGTTTTGTCCAGATAATTTTTCTTTCAATGTTTTTAGTACAGGCTCTCACTATGGAGCTCAGACTCATAGTGATCCTCTTGTTTTCAGCCTCCCCAGTGCTGGAATTACAGTGTATACCACAACTCCCGGTCTCCAGGACTGGCTCAGTGCACCCAGGGGCAAGGCTGGTATGGCATGTGGTGCCAGGGATCAAACCCCAGTCCCTATGCTTGCCTAAGCAGGCGCCTATCCGCTGTGCTATCTCACTGGCCCTTCTCTGGATAAATTTCATTCTTGGCAGTTGTTCAGTGTCTCAGCCTTCCAGTTCCTCCTTCCTATTTGGCAGGGAGGACACAGAATCTGGAACCTTAAAGGTTCACATTCACATATACTACTACGTAGGGGAGTTTCATTATCCTCTTATTGTTCACATATCCTTAAAATACCTCCTTGAGAGTATTAGACTTCTGATTACAATAATCCCACTGTTTCCCATTCTGTTCTAGCATTCATTTCTTTCCATCCTTATTCCATCTTCCCCTTATCAATTATGGTGTTGATATATTCTAGAATTTAGTATATTCTTAAAAAATATTTTGATAATATATATTTCATTATTTTTTTCCTCATTGCTGTTTTTGTACTAAGTACTTCCAAAATGATTTATTTTTCTGCTCTTATATGAAGTTTTAATGATTTTTTTTCAGGGAACTTCCATAGGAAGTAAATTTAGGGGCTTGTTTGTTTATCTGTTTGTTTTCATTCTGTCTTTTGTGAGACAGGGTCTTACGATATAGCTCAGGCTGGCCTCAAGCTTACTTGTAGCCCGGGCTGGTCTCAAACTGGCAACAATCCTCCTGCTTCAGCCTCCCAAGTACTGAGACTATAGCTGTGGCCAGGATGCCTGGTGTAAATTCTAATGTTAAATTAAAAAGGAAACTGGTTCTTCTGGCATAGCAACCAGTGGTGGGATGAGAGTTTAAACCCAATCTGATTCTCGTAGCTTGTATCATGAATCCAGTGTTGCTTCTGGTTGCTTTTCCAGTTATCTCTGTATCTTATTTTTCTAATATTTTTTCTATGTAATTTAGTGTATTTTAAATATTGCTCCATGTTTGACAATTATATATTTATGAATTGTATATTTCTTCAACTCATAATTCTCAGATATTGTTCTTTCAAATATTACGTTTGCTTTCTATATCCCATCATCATCCATTTCAGATAAACATTTAAGCTCTAGCGTCTGTGCCCCATATGCCTCAACTTGTCGCTTGTGCCTTCCACCTTTTCCTCTCTTTTTACTTTATTCTGAGAAATTCCTTAGCTTTATCTTTTAGCTCAGCAATTCTTTTGCCTTCCATTTGAGTCCTTGTTCTTTAGCCTCTTTTTAGCCTTTTCTTAAATCTCAACAACTTCATTTTTTAAACTTAAAAACAGCTAAGTGGTATTAAAAAAAAAAGTTCTCAATTTAATTCTACCAGGAATGTTATTTTATGTACAGTTTTTACTTAATTGATCCATCAAATATTTCCTCAAATATGTTTCATATTTCCTGAGTTCACTTTCTTTAATATGTGGATTTCTCCAAATGCTCTGTGAATTTTTGACAGAGTACCATGCTAGCTTTCAGCCACTGTGACAAAATACCTGAGAATAATCAACTTCAAAGGAGAAAAGGTCAGTTTTGATCCACAGTTTCCAAGTTTCATGCCATGGTGGCTTTGTCCCCATCACTGTGGACCTGTGGCAAGGCAAAACATGATGGAGGACAGTAATGCCTGTTTCACCACAGGCACAGGGAAGCAAAGATGGACAGGAGGGAGGCAGAATCCCACAAGATACATCAAGAGCACGCCCCATGACCCAGCTTCCTCCAACAGGCCCCCACCTTCAGGAAGTACTATTGCCTCCAATAGAGCCACCAGCTGGAGGCCAAGAATGCCACACCAGCCTTTGGAGAACACATATGATCCAAACCATAACACATTTACACTCTCTGACTCAGTCTCCAATCACCCAATGGCTGCCTACGGTTGAGCATCCTACACAGTCAGGTAGTGAAGTACTCTCTATGACTTTTGCTTTATTTAATGTAAGAATTCTTTAAGTTGCAATAAGCAACCTAAATTCCTGGCATACCCCATCCCTAACCCTAACTGTAACCTTAACCCTATTTATTACCTGTAGAAATAAGAGAGAACAATGTTTTGGTAGTGCCTCCTTTCCCAAGAAGAAAGGCAGAATCATATTTGATTAAGAATTAGAGATTTGGTAAAAGGCAGGCCTTTTGATAGGAGAGTTCAGTTAAAATTTGGTAAAGGTCATGATTTGACAGTTTAGAACTGAGAGAAATTACAAAGTAAGAACTTTGGTGGTTTAAAAAATATCAAAATGAATATGCTATTGGTAGTTTCTCTTGAAAATCTGATGGATATAGGGAAATTCCTAAAATAAATGAAAAGTCATTTCCCAGGTCAAAAGTCTTTTGTAAAAGAAAAATTGTGCTTAGAATGTAGAATAAGGTCATATTAATTAACAAAGGAAGATGTATATTCATAGGTAGTTTTGGTTCTTAATGATTACACTTTAAAAAAATAGAAGTTTTGTTCTCAATGTTCTCTAACCTTCCCTACACAAATCTTTGAAATTAATTTAGTTGCTCTAGACTGGATTTGATTTTGACTGCTAATGATATTTTTCTTGGTTTTTCAAGACTGATTACTAGATTGCCATCCTTTGAACATTTAATGTCTTTTCTGGAAGAATATAAATTTTCTATTACCCATCTAATTATATAGTAATTGCCACTGATCCTATGCTTCTAGGCCCCTCAAAGAATATACCTATACAACATCAAAAGTGAGGAGTAAAAGATTTTGTGAAGACATTAAAGAGAGCCGGAGGAGAAAGTTTATACCATGTCAAACAACCTGAAATTTCCCTTGAATGTCACTTTGCCTCAAAGGTGTATGTGTGGCCTTGTGGCCATATGGGGCTTGTGTAACATTGCTTTGCCCATAGCTCCCATACTCATTGGCTTCTGGGTTCTTCTGAGTTGTTTCTTGGAGCTTAGAATTTCCCCTATGGATACTACAGAGAAATTCAACTGCAGTTCATACTACTGAATCTGTGTAATCTAAATTATCAAGGTACTCATCAATCAACCAACATTATGGTAATCAACATCTACCCATCTCAAGAACAAAGAGTAACATAAAAATTGTACCTATTTATGGAGTACCACGTACCATTTTGGTATATGTATACAATATATGATGTTTGGCTTAAACATGTCTGCGTTTTCAAATATCTATCTTTTTTGGAGAAATATCTTTATTGAAAAGATATTGAAATATCTTTTCTTCTAGCTATTAAAAATATATAATATTTAGGATTATCAATAAACATCTAAAGGGCTGGCAAGATAGCTCAATGGACTAAATACCTGCTTTGGCAAGTGCAGTGACCAGGATTTGATCCCCATTCCTGCACGCTGCACCAGCCTCACTCCTGGGGCACACTGAGCCAGCGACTGAGTCCAGGCGTGGTGGCACACGCCTGTAATCCCAGCATTGGGGAGGCTGAAAACAAGAGGATCACTACAAGTCCAAGCTGTGTAGTAGGATCCTGTACCAAATATATAAGTGGAAAAAATAATTAATAAATAAATAAATAAGCATCTATATAACACCACATAAAAGCTTCTTTCTTCTAATAAAATGAATAAATGAGACTGAATGGAAATTATTTTGACCAACTACAGATGGCTCTCTTGCATCACAGTGAATAGTACGGATTCTTTCTAGCTCGCTGTGCCCATCAGCTACCTGGCCTCTCACTGCAAGTCTATGTCATCTCTTGTTTTGTGGTCAAATCCTTCACTTGTAGTGCTCTTAAACATTCGTGCATGCTCTGCATTTTCTGAGGAAAGG